CTCCTTTTTCACCAAACCAACAAAGACAACAAACAAAAGAATTAACAAAGACATTTTAGTGAGTTTTATTTCGCCTCTGTCCAGTATGAAGTGTGTTTACAATTATCTGCAAGGTAAAATGATTTTTTTTGCCTTTATTAGCCTTCAGTGTTAGTAATAGGTCAATATTTTACTGTTTAATTCCTTACATTTTTGTCTAAGCTAAGTCATTACATGCCCGTTTAAATGCACTGAGCTGACAACATTGCTTCAGCCACCAGTAAGGGGAACTGGTTCAGTCAGTGACAACAGTAATTCAATATAATCAGTCCAGTTCTGTATTGAAGATGTGTCGGTTCATTTTCTAGTGTAGTGTGTAGAGTCTAACAATTGGAAATGTTCTTCTCAGTCTAAATGTGAATGTAGGAGACCCCAGTCAGATCAGAGAACATGAGCTGAATCACAACTTGCTGATTCACAGTGTTCTGCTTATTCTTGGGAAATTCTTAGGAAATTCTTAGAAAATTCCATCTTTAAAAAACGAAAGTGAATGATAAATGATAAATAGATAAACACGGGTGCTGTTTTTTTCACATCACAGTGACTATACCAGAGTACTTACAGATGCTTTGTTATAGATGCTTTATAATCAACCTGTGGCACAGGTTATTTACAGTGCTGTACTGTCTCCCTTAAAAGTCAATGGCTAAACCCTTGCGTCGTATTTGTCCACCATGACAACATGCAGTTGCTTCTACACCAGTGTTCTTACTGTTTCAACATAACGTTGATTCGTCATGAGCTCCTAGTCGCCTTCAATGAGAGCTGCTGTCTTTTGCACGGATCTCTAAACTCACAGATGAAAGCTGTAATATCTTTTTGTCTTTCTTTTATGTTAAACATATTTGTCATGTAAAGTCTTTGGTAATTAAAATTAGCCTGCATGCCAGAGTCAGCGGATGGTTCACTGATCAGGGGAGTTTCTTTCATCTTCGTGTCGATGGCTTTATAAGTTCTTTTCCAGCAATCAGCTCTAATGTACACATCATCAGCAGCACTTTGGCCACCCAGGTTTCACTTTCCCTTCATCTTTTCTTTCCTCTCTTGCCCTCTTTCCTATACCTTCAGCTCTGCTCTGCAGTTTGACATGGTTGTCATAAAAATATAATAATAAAATATTTAGATGTGTCCTGGGTATTGTCCTGTAAAGCTACATGACTAAACATGAGATCATTTTTTCCAGACTCAGAAGCTTTTCCCCCCCTTTTGGCTTATTTATTTTTCTGTGGTTTTGGGAGGTTGTGGCTGAAAGTCTGATGATATGCTGTGTGTGTTCCTCTTCTTACCCCTCCCCTCATTACTCCTCTCCACATTTCAGCTTTCTCCTCGATTTATATGCAAAAGGTATAGGGAGTGATAAAAATACATTTTTTATTTTAGCTTGTTGTTTCACAGTAAATCACTGTTCACTTTCACATTTATGTGTATACTCATATGATTTGGACTCATTCTTTCAATATTAGCATTGTCTCTGCGGATTATGTTACTATCATACTAGCAGCATACAGTTATGATTAGTTTATTTTTTGTACCTCTTGTCCTTTCCCTGCCATATTTCCCCAGAGCTTTGGGTGTAGGAGTTACAGTTTGGTCTGAACACTGTCTAGACGCCTATGAGCCTCCCATTACCTCCTGATTACACTGAGCCCTATTAATCTCTGGCTGGCCGGCCAGGGCAGCGCACACAAACACACACACACACACACACGTAGGCAGAAACAGAAAATAAGATTAAAAGGATAATATTATAATTACAATACAACATTATAATTTTTAGTAATTGTGTTACTGATCAAAAGAGCAATCTTATGATGAATAATGCAGAAGCCAATCTGCTGCTGGCTGTAGCTTCATCTTTAAGGTGCCAGTATGTTTCATCAGGTCGAAAAGCTTTGGTTACGTCCTCCCCTTTATTACAATTTCTGTATCTTTCCAAAATTGACATTCACGGCCACATGCAGTGATAAGCCGTTGGAGGTAAGTACTTGGACTTTTCATTCTTTATACAACTAGAGCAACACTTTTAATGCCTTGCAGGAGAAAAATAGCACAGTCTCACAAAATGATAAAAAGTATTTATGTAGGCTAAAGTCCTTTACAGAGTGGATTTTGTTTGTTTCTACATCTCTCCACCTACACAATGTGACACACACACAAGAAGAAGAGGCCAGATGACTAAACTGTTCAGTGATTGCTGGACTTGGTTGGAGGTAACACAATCCTCTATCTATCTGATCTTATTTAGTTGTTTCATGAACACATTCACTGATGACTCCCCGAGGTATCTAAAAGATAATGGCTGTTTCAAATAAGATAAACACACACACACAATTCCCTTGAGTAAAATGGTGTCACAAGAAACACCCGTCTTTCGTCTCCAGGGTTACTAAGGGCAGGACTGTGGGTGTTGGGTGCCAAGGAAACAAACTAACTATGAGAATCCAACTCACCAACTAAAAGTTATGTTTACTTTTGGGGTTAATAGTGTGTGTGTGTGTGTGTGTGTGTGCATGTGCTCTTGCGTACGTGTGTGTGGAGGTTGATCCCTTGGGACAGAGTTTAACGCTTTAGCCTGTCTGTGTGAGCACAGGCTATTTGCCTACCTGAGGGAGCATAAAAAACAGAGATGCAAAGCACAAGTGCCAAAAATCTCTCAGAAATGCCTTTGAAAATGCCATAAAGGGATTTCATGGATGTCAGTAGGCCTGTGAGAGATGGGCTTTGATACGACTCGGCCCTGGCTTAGCCGTGTTGGAGAATATATGGCCGCAGTTGTACGGCTCTGACTGGTGGAACACTTAAGGTTTTATGACCTGCTGCCATTTGGGGCTCTGGGATAGAGCAGAGTGCCGACCACGTAACTAATTAGGCCTGGCCAACGGGGGTGTGCAAGGATGGGGATTTGTGGATTGTGGGTTTGTGGATGTGGTGTGTCTGCATGAGTGAATGAGTGAGTGAGCCAGTGAGTGTGTGGCATGGGTTGTGTTTGTGTGTGTGTGTGTGTGTGTGTGTCCTGAACCTGGAGCATTGCGTCAGGGAGGCGTTTGTTCTCCATAAAGACTTCAGGGGCTCTTTCATGTAGGAGCTGCTAGGCCTGGAAACTTTGACACAGGAAGATAGACACACACACACACATACACATCAGAGACCACTCCTTGGAGAGGTAGACAGAGGTGTATGAAAAGATAGACTGGCCTGCTCAACAAAAACAACTCTCCTATTGTCTCATCTCTCTCGCTCTCTTTCTTCTTCTTCTCTCTCCATTGGAGGATCATGAAGATAAACTGCCATGCCTAGATATGAGAGTCCAGTGGCAGGAGGGGGGGTTGTCAGAAGTGGAATGTGCATGAACTGCACACCGCCTCCTATAAATCAGGGAGACAAGTAGGAGAAAGGAGGAGGGAAAGCAGGATGGGGGATGAGGGGGAGTCAGCGTGAGGGAGTGATAGGAGCAATGACAAGATAAATTAGTGGTGACGGAGGGAGGGGGTGCAGGTGCAAGAGAGGTGCGCACGGGCTGGGGTTGAATTTGTGCAAAAGAGCGATAAAGCCAGAGGGAGGTCATGGGAGGGAAAATAACAGTCCACTTGAACTTTTCAGATCACTGTTCAAATCTGTTTTTTTAAGATGATTTTGTGTATTTGTACAGTGGAAACAGTGGAGGCTGCACAATTGAATGTCATTCAGAACATTCTTGGATAACTAGGAGCGATTTGCAGTGACTATGTGATTACAAGTACACTAGATTGTCAAAAAGGTTTGAACTGGAGTTAATGTTCTTCTGCTGAAGGCTAAAATCTGGGTAACACGAGCCTTTTAATACAACGTTTACTCCATTTCCGTGAGCTAGTTCATAATTATTTCAGTAGAACTTTCAAATAGGAAATTAATATAAATATAAAGGGTCCATAAATTGTAACTATGTCTTTATAAGGGATTAATAAAGTCATTTACTAATACTCAGATTAGTTATAAGCCATTATTAACATAAATGTTGGTAATCCATCAAAAGAATAAATCAGCATTTATGGAACTATATGCTTTCTTGACGAGTGTTAGATAAGAAGTTTGATACTGCTCTCATGTCTCTAATCATAAAAATATATCCTGTTTCTTGGCTGGGATCAGTTGCTAGGCAACCTGCACAGACTACAGGAAGTTACTGCTCCCTGCAAAGAAATAGTCTAGCAGGTAAAGTGTTAATAAGTGAGCTTTGGAGGTACTGGTCAGCATATTTTTGCACAGAGCCAGATAGCTGTTTACAGTCTTAAGGGGGTGATATCAATCTTCTCATCTAATATCAATTGAAGAAACACTTATGGGTTTCCCGCTCTTAATAGACCCTCAAGTCTGCAGTTATAAAAGGTTAATAAGTCATTCTAAAATGATTTCATTATAAGACACAGATCTATATGATTGGGTGTGATGGATGACAATGAGCCTAGTTAATTGTAGCTCCTTATCTGTGTTCTTAGGCAGCTCCCGATAAGCTCTCCAACTCTTAGCACCTCACACAGCTTATGAGACTCCCCACTGAAAGGCAGGGGGGTGGGG